GCTTTGCAGTAGTCTTTCTGGAGGATAACAAGGGCATGAGTGACTGTTCGAGGGGCATCCTGATCCAGGAAAGGGCGTAACTGATGCACAACCCAAAGTTGTGCAAAGGTCCTCCTTGCCACGGCTGCCACCTCTTAACTCTTAACAGGCTAGTAGCTTTTTGGAGGTTGGGGTGGGGGGTAGGATAGTAACCTTGGCATGGCTTATTTACAGAACAGCCTTACTGAGAAACTTACTGCATGTAGCTCAGCTTCTGCAAGCAGTATGAATGCATTTCCACGAAAATGAATACAATGATCTGTATTAATAACCAGCGTCACATTCTATGTTACCAAGAACTGATTATTATTTAAGACACAACTGCATGGTCATAGAGCACCCAAAATTGATTTTATTCATAAACAAGCACATTTTAATTTATCCAAAAGATATACAAAATTCCTTAAGTATAAGCTTTCTAAATACTAAAAGGTTTAATAAAAAACAGCAGTAAAATTATGTCCCATAAAATAACTCTTGCTTATCAAATATATAAGCACCATTAGATGGAATTCCATGTTTTAGAAGATTAACACCTTTAATACTGAATTGTTCATAAGCTGAACCAACCCCCCCCCCACATTTATATATATTTTTTAAACATTTAAATTGCAATACATTCCAAAATAAGACAGAAATAACTACCAAAGTGGGTTTTTTTGTCAGCGTTCAGACTGAGCATACAATAAAAACTTTACTTAGACATTTAGTTAGGTTTATTTGTTCTGACAAGTAAAACTTCATAACAGTTTACTTGATTCTTCAGTATTTGTATATTCAAGTTACATACACTTCCATACTAAAATCTTAATAATCTATCTTCTCCAACTTGAGGCTTTCCAGATGTGTAATTTCACAACTCCTATTATCCCACGCCAACAGGGATACATATCTGAAGGGCATCAGGCTAAGGAAATAAATTACTGAAAAATACTAGCTATATCACTGAGCCAAATGCATGGATATTGAAAGCACTTACCCTCATACCTTTAAATTCATTCTCTCGATCAATTTCTTGAGCCTTTGGAGCTAAGTGTTCCTGACAGAATTTGGTCATGGTTTGCCTAAGCTGTCCAAAATACAATGAAAAATGCATATTAGAAACCAGCATTGTTATTTTCTTTTTGTGTGCGTAACATTAAAAAGCCTCTCCATTGGCAATGCTAGTTAGTTATCAGTTGGGGAGGAGGCTTCCTCTATGTACTTGTGTGAATTATTTGATGCCAAGGACAATTTCATTATTGAAAAAAATGAAATGAACTTCTGTCATTGAGGAAAAAAAATTGTGATGAGTAGCAACAGTTCCAGTGAGACCTGCATATCAATGTTAGAGCATGATTTCAGACTGAATCTGTTTGCTATTATTCCCATATTCTGTGTCTCCCTGCACAATCCCTTGGGGGGGTGGGGGGAGGTTGTCCCTGAGTAGTTACCTGAACCCTCCTCTAGGGGAAATTTGGATTTTGATCTTATGATCCAGTCCTAGCTGTACTGCATTTGTCTGATATCTCAAGCATACTATTTATTGTCCATAATAGGATCCAGTTGTATGGGTCCCAGAAGGTTGTCACAGGTACAATAGGAGAAACTGAATTTCTTCCAACCTCTTCTTAGAAAGACTCTAATGAATAAATCATGTTGGAGAGCTACTCCTAATAACCTAGGAGTAGCTCTCCAACAAGGCTGGCTATTTTTGACATAAGGAAAATCCACCATCAGGAGGAGCCAACAGAGTCATGACGGGCAAAGAGCAATTTTTATTTTATTTAATTATCAGGCCGCCCGACTCCTTAAAGACTCTGGATAGCTTACAATTAAAAGAGAAAGAAGCATATAGAGAAAAAAATAGAGGAGCTGGTGGCCCCAGGTCTCCCAGCAGGTCCCCAAAGCATCATGGAATCTATGCAATCCCAGCGGTAAGTGTGTATGTGCGTGTTCCCCCAGAGATCTAGATGGTGCTTTTGTAAGGTGTAAAAGACCTGGATGTTCCTTTGGTCCAGGAAGCTAAGCAAGCCCCACTAGCTATTTATTTAATTATTGTTTCAGTGAATGTAGTGGCACATGGAATACTATAGTTTTTGTATTTTGTTTTAAAATTTGAGTTATTTTAAAAAAAAGCTTTTGTATGTTGCCTAGAGTTACCTTAGTGAGATGGGTGGCTTTATAATTTGTTTAAATAAATAAATAAGGTCATGAGGGATGGCTTGGCCCAACTATGTTGACAACTGGTACTTGTGAAATCATGCATAGGCAATCTGTGCTCTCCAGATGTTTTAGATCTCCCATCTACCCTGAGTCCACCTACAGAGGGCACTGGGTTGTGCATCCTTGATTAACTATATCTAATTTGCAGTAGTGGATTGTTGAGATGTGCTGTTTGTCAATATTTGTTTAATTCTTACTTTCTTTGGACAGAGGACAAAGGAATAAGACTTTTGAACAAAGTGGCCAAGTTTTCTGAAATTGTTCCAACTATGATATAAATTTCCATGATCTCTTTTTCTTTTAACTTTGTTATATATGGATGCTTATAACATTATCTGTTAATTTAGAACAGGGTGCTAATATTACTTGATATTTATATTGCCTTTGTTTGCACCACTACTGTATATTGTTGGTATTCTTTTTTCTTATTAAATAGAATCAAAAGGTTTTGTCAAAGCATTTATTCACTGATAAATAAATTAAAGCTGATTCAATCCTGCCTTTTATCATTTATCCACTATTTAGTGGTCAAGGTTTTTATTATCAGTAAGTAGTTACAGTATATATTATAACTGTAATTTTAATTCCCTTGTTTTTATACTTGAGTATACCAAGAAAAAAAAAGGGGGGGGAGGAGAAAATCCACTGGAATTTTTAGCCATCAGTATAACCAATCAATGCAACATGGTAATGAATATAACAAATTGAAACAAAGCAAGCAATCTGTTTTAAACGTTTTCTTTAAAAAAAAAACAAACCCAAGCCAACAAAACCAACAGAGCTACTGCAAAGACAGTTGTATAGAAGACATAGCTCAAGTCTGCTGAGGGGGACATTTGCCTTCATCACTACAAGTCAGATGACAACAGATACACAGTGTGAAAATACTCATAGGCAACAGCTTACCCCTATACATGGATAACCCCATCTCGGTTTAGAGGGCTGTTAAGACCTGGTTCTTCTGGAGGGCTTTAGACATGGTTGATTATGGGATTGTTGTTTCCAAGATGGACTGGTGGTTTACAGTGATTATTCTCTATTTGTATTATTGATTTTGTGATGGTTTGTTTATTGTTGACTATTGTTCTATTATTTATTATGTTTTAGAATGAATACTGAAAGCAGTAATTTGTCAGCTGCTTGGAGACTGTAAACTGAAGCAGCATAAAAGCCAAAGTAAATACATAAATAATTCTGCAAATGAAGTTGCTAGTTCTTCAAGAGATCCATAAGTGACAGCTGCTTTTCAATGCAGTCCAGTACAGATACTCAGCTGGAGTGGATTGTATAATAAGTATCTAAATGAAATGCAATATTTAACATATGCATAATAGTACCATACTGATTACCAAACAAATCCATCACATGAGAAATTTGGTTTACTGTTCAGTGCCCAGTGTGTTTTAAGCACTTAAACATACATAACAGTACTGTAAAATAAGGAGATTTAGTAGCACCAATTACAAAAATCTGTAACATGGGCATGTCCAAGACTTTTGTTTTAATCCCAAAATCTATTTTTTTCATCTTTGTAATCAAGGATATTTCCACAAGAGAAAAATGAAATTTATGATGTGTGCCAAAATGAAATGATGCAGCATGGCAGGCTTAGTTATTGCAAACCCAGTCTCTGGCTCAAAGCAGCTACTTGATAAGCCATAATACTGTGCTATGCACTTTGACTGATTTGCAGATTGCACTAAGTGGTGAATTATTTAACTATTTTTAATTGAATAAAGCTCTTTTGGCTAAGCCATAAACCATGTTTTACAAACTACAATGGCTAGATTCATACAGTGGATTAAACCAAAACCAAACAATGTCACATTATAGCCCAGCAGAGCAATGAGCAACTGTTGTCTCTGAGCCCACTTTTTGTTGCTTCCAGAACCCATCTAAGAGTAGTTGCTGAAAATTGACAGGACAGCTTCCTTCCTTCTTGAGACAGGAAACTCATGAAAATCATACTAAGTCCCAAGGTAGGCATATAAACAGTTTAAAATATAGTGACTCATTCTGAAAGGGAGAAAAAGAAGAAAATCCTAATCCTACCCACTGCTTGCATCATCCTGCCCACTTTTATCCATTTAATTTTAATTTTATCCATTTAATAACCTTGCCAATTCTGCATGTCACTCATAGATTCTACCACCAAAAGATGAACTTAGAATATAAGCAATGACAACTCCAATGATCTTAAACAGAGTTGTAAAATTCATCTCTGCTATCTAGGATTCCAGTGGTTCATATAAGCACTGGAATCCATTCCAAAAACTTATTTTGAAATATAATAAGTACAACAATCCTTTTATTTACTTTATTGGTCACTCCATGTATGTTTTTATCAGATGATGGCTTGCCCTAAAGGCAGAGCAAAAATAGTATCAAACAAGAACTCATTTATTTGGAAACTGTAGGACTGCAGTAGAGTTTACTGAGGGAAGGCAAACTATAAGGGCATCAGGATTAAAGAAAACTAACCAGGAACCGATCTGAAGTTTACACATTTCTTCTCTTTCCTTGCAATTTTAAATCTGTCACAAGGACTATTACTGGGGGGAGGGGGTTGTTTGTTTTTTGTTTTGGTGCCTTCAAGTCAGTGTTGAATTCTGGTGACTGCCTGGACAAGCCCCTGCAGTTTTCTTGGCAAGATTTCAGAAGTGGCTTGCCATTGCCTCCTTCTTCCTAGGGCTGAGAGAGAGTGACTGGCCCAAGGTCACCCAGGCAGAACTAGAACTCAGAATCTCCAGGTTTCTAGCCTGGTGCCTTAACCGCTGCACCAACTGGCTTTCTATTGCTAGGTACAAATGAGAAAAAAACTACTTTTGCAAAGTTAGCAATGAGGAATAAAATGAATCTGTAAAATCTGACTTCCTTTCTTTAAAAGCATGTCAATATTCCTTAGGTGCTTTTAAACTGAAAGAACAAAAGTGGAAATAGCCTTTTCTTGTAATCAGAAATAGTGCGTGTGTGTATGTATGCAAAAAGTAAAGAAGGCAACCCCTTCTATAAAAACATATATCCCCTTTATATATCAAAACTGCTATTTGTTGCCATTTGACATTTTATAACATTAAATTACTCTGTAGTTCAATCTGAAAATTATGCTATTGACTTACTGCTCAAGAATATGTTTTGATATTTTACATCCTAATGGCTTACTTGGAGGGTAGACAAACCTAAGCCTTTCAGATGTTGCTGAACTACAGGGATGGAGCTGGAGTATATGTGTGAGAGAAGCAAGTTTATTTATTTATTCAATTTATGTAGCCACCCACCTCACAATAGCAACTCTGGGTGGCTTAAAACAATTAAAAACAATACAATAAAATGATAAAACATAAAACATAACCAATAGCCAAGGAGCCAAAATAGTCTAAACAAATAATTACCGCACTGCAGGCTCTGACTAATACTCTGACTCCTGTGCCCAGGAACACACCCATGTTTTAAGAACTTTCCAAAAAGCTGGTAGGGTGGGAGCCAATCTCATCTTGGGGTCAGATTGGCCCCCTGTGACTGTTCAGTAAGAACTAAAAATGGCAGCTACCATGATGTAATAAAGTTGTAAGTTTGTGTGTGCAGCAAATAAATTAAAATTCCACATGGATTGCTTTTGTTCTAGAATGAAAAATGCCCAACCTGCCTTGCCACGATGGAACTACAAGGAACAGCCAGTTAAAATCAAGTATCAGTAATTGCACACTGTCTTAAAAGAAAGCAAACAAAATACTTTTACACTTGCCTATATTTTAGACTTTATGGTGTAGATACTCTGTCCCCACAGACTGTAAATATAGAAGCTGGATACAACAATTTGGTGCAGCAGCAAAAGTAAGACAAGTCAAGACACTCAGAATAAGAGCAATGCTCAGTCAGAGCAAAGGTCACCCCGCTGGATAGTTCCATAGTTTATCTAGTGCATTTGGGAAACTCATGGCATGGACAGAAAGCTGATTGCCCTCTTCCACTGCCACTTTGCAACAGCTGGTGTTTATTATATTGTATACTGCTCATGATTTGGAAAGTAATGTACAGCCATCAAAATTAGGAATGACTTTAGTCTTTTAAAAAACCATTTAAACTGGTATCCATCAGCCCATCTGATGGCAGTAAGGCCCACAGTTTAATGGTCCAGCATTCTGTTCCCCAGTGCTCAGTTCAGATTCCTGTAAGAGACAGTCACAAGCAATAACACAATGCTGCTTGTGTTCTCAAACAACTGATATTGTGCAGAACAGTCTCCAGAATTATAGACTAAATGTAACTATTGTGACTAGCAATGTTAATAACTTTATCCTCCACAAATACATCTAATAACCCTTCAATGTCATTCAAGTTATAAGTCATTACCAGCATTCCAGTTATCAGATTCCATAACAGATTTATGCACTGTGTGCAGGAAGGAATTATTTTTATCTGTCTTGAAACCCATGGAGCAGCTTCATAAAATCATCCTGAGTATTGCTTTTAGGGTTCTGGATCCACTTTCTCCATCATGGATAATTTTATATGCCCCTATTATGCTCCCCTTGTTCACCTTTTTCTAAGGAAATGAATCCCCAAACATTGTTACCATTTCTCATATGTTGAGCTACTCCAGCATCTTGGATATTTGGACTATCTTTTCCGGCCTCTTGTCGAATTCTGCAATATCCTTTTTGTGGTAACGTGATGAAATGCAGGATTCCAAGTGAAGCCACACCACAGATTTATCTAAAGCCATTATGATATGAGCAATTTTATTTTCGATCGCTTTCTTAATGGCCTCAACAGGGTACATGCTTTTCTCATCGCCTCCGCATCCTGGTTTTCACCCAGGGCCCCGTCCGCGGTCTTTGGGATTCTTATTCCCGTATGCTCCAGAGCGGAGCCCTGGGATAGGCCCGGTCCCGCTCATGGAAAAGGATCCCTACGCGAGCACACAAACCGAAGAAGTCCCCCAAGGAACGGGAATCAGTAAGCTCAGGAACAGGGCGGCGGGGGTGCAAGAAGGAAGCAAAGCAGGACGCTTGTTTTCTAACTCTAAAGGACGCTGCCAGTTATACCTGCCGCTGCTCCGCGCTCAGACCATTCACCGTATCATCCACCGGGATCCCGGCGCAGCCCCGCCGCCAGAGCGGCAACAAGCCCCCTAGGACGCAGCGCCGAGAGCAGCTGGAGGCGCCCTTCCTGATCAGCGCCGCGGCCGCCATCACGAACTCTGCAGCGACCTCCCCGGTCGGCGGGCCCTGGCCGCGTTCCCACCGCTTTCTTGAGCAATCAGCGAGAGGGGCGAGGCTTAACTGTCCACTGGGAACTCCCGAACTGAAGGGAAACAGCCAATCGCCGCCAAGACGGTGCCGTGCCCCTCACGCGCTTGGAGCCGCGATTCCTTTCCGTCGGCCGGGTTGGAAGAGAAAATTACCGGGCTGCGGGTTTGCTCTGCCCAAGGGCTAAGCCGGAATATTCCACTTTCTTTTTCTGATTCTTCTGCGAGGCTTCAACTGTGATTGTTAACACTCCTCCTTCTCCCCTTAGCCATAGCAGAGCATCTTTTCTAGCGCCATTTCTTGGAACCGGGAGCACAGAAAGCGGATTAAAGTTTCAAAAACTGAAGGAAGGAAATTAATCCGGAAAATAAAAACCAGGTTCTCATAATTAGGCAAAGATAGATTTTAATTAGGAGCCCCCTCCCCTGCTGGCAGCAGATTGGTACAATAATACAGCCCTATGCAGGTTGACTAAAAGCCCCAACTTCACATTACCTGAATGAAGGGCTTAGATTTTCTTTCTAGATTACTTTGTTGATTTCTTGGGCAAACTCTGTAGATACTTGAAATTATCTATAATTGAAACATCTAATTATAGAAGACAATGACAACAATTGTGGGGGCTTCTAGATACAGTATAAAACCTAATGTACCTTAATAAAATACTTTGATACCTGAAACAAACTGAAAATGGACTGTCCAAGCCTTCAAAAATCTTACATATTTCTAAAATATGCCGATGTATTTTCTCCTAACCAAGCGGAATAGAAAGCTCCCACAGAGCAAAAATACATTTGGGAAGGAAATTAAAATAGAAGCATATCCACCTAGGATGTTGTCTATACCTCCTTAGAGACAGCAGGTAACATAAGTAATTAGAAGTTAAACAGCAGTAAATGTTTATTGCCAGAAACATCATGAACGTACTCCAAACATCAACCACTAAAAAACATAAATACAGCATCCATTGAGCCAAACTATGTGACTACCACTCAGAATTTAGTTGGGTAGTAAAGTTGGTTTCTACTGCCTCAAAAAACACCCCCTCCAAAAAACCCCTCTTCCCATCAGTCAGCTCTCTTAGAGGCAACTGTCTATTTATGAAGCATGTCATAGATTTATGCAGGAAGAATTAACAAGAATAGTAGAAAGATTAAGAAATTATATTCTATTTTTTCAAACCTGCGGTTCACGGGGCTGGAAGATAGGGCAATATATTTTTTCCCTACTGGTAGCTCTATTGCAGATAAGCACAGTATGTCTGAGCAAGCATAACATTAGACAGAATACAGTACTGAAATACTCCTTGTTTTCCACCCATTGATTATGTTAAAATGTCTGCTAATGGAACCTACAGGTTTTACAATATAGTAGTTAAAGAGTGCTCCAAGTATTTTACAAAAAACTTCCACAATCTCTTGCCATCACCAATATTAGCTAGGGCTGATGGAAGTTGAGGTTCAATCTGAAGAGCAATTGCCTGGACATGACATATGTACAAGCCCTTCAACCCAGATAAACAGGAGAATGAACAATTCTGCCTGTAAATGAATATTTGGGAGTATAGTCCTTTTCAGGGGCAGAAAACTTAAAAATTGAAGAGATGTAGGATAATAGCATACATCTCATATACCTAGATTAGCTTCTCCCAAAGCCATGGGAGACCTACTCAAACAGTATTGTTTAAATTCCTCTGGTACGTACAGCTTAATCATAAGTTTCATACTTGCTTACATTTCTAGCTACTTGGAGAATATGAATTATTGTTTAAATGACTAAAGGTAAGCTTGCACAGTTTCACCTCTTGGTTCCCTTCCTTGCTGATTATGCCCACCAATTTATTTAGAATCTGTATTTGGTTCCTTTAGCTAACTGACCAATCTGTCCCATTTCGTTTTAGCAATATTTTTCAGGATATGTATGAACAGATACAACTGTAGAAATTAAACTAAAGCTGAATAGATGGAAAACATACTTCAGTTCCACCTCATTATTCTGACAAATACAGAAATGTTCTAGACAGAATCTTTAAACAACCCTGAAATTTAAGAAAGAAGAGTAACCTAATCTACTTTTTGTTTAAAATTCAGTAGACAATATGAAAAATTGCTGAAAAGTTACCCCCCCCCAAAAAAAATTATACTGTGGTTTACATTCTTGTGCTCAACAGTAAAGTAGAGCAGCCAGGAATAAATCTCAACCCAAGTCTATGATGAGTTGAAGAAGTCATCTGCCTGATTTAAGGCAGCAAACAGATCTTCCATTTCTCTATGAAAAGACTGCTGCTGCTCTAAGAAGTGGGTTCTCTCCTCCTCTATCTGCTTCCATCTGGTTTGAGCATTCTATAAAGAAAAAAATTGTAAGTACCGATGTTTACATTTATTAAAATTGCATTTAATAAATTTATAGTTATTAAAATTAAAATATAGAAAACTGAATCACAACTTAGGACTGGAGCAGACTTTATAAGTCGTCTACGTCAACTCCCTGCTTTGTGCATGAATCCACTGATCCAACCCCAGTAAGGGGCCATCCATCCCCCATTCAAAAACTTCCAGGAAAAGGCAACTATGGGCCATCATTGTTCTAAGCACACTGGTCTATTGCTTAACAGCTGTTACTATCACAAACTTCCTCCTAGTACAATATTCAGCCTGAATCTCCTTTCTTTTAGTTTCAACTTGTTGGTTCTTCTTCTGTCCTTAATTACAACGGAGCAGTTTTGTTCCTTCTTGCATGTGTCAGCTAGGTGCAAAACCTTTGTCAGACATTGCTTGCCCAGGATGAAATGATAGAGTCCATTGGAGTTGGGTGGCCAATAAGTATAAATAAATAATAACTACCATTTGCCAAAAGAAAATCAGAGGGTTTTTTCCCATAGATGTATAGAAGTTGTTAGAATAGGGTTAAATACAAGCATTAAAAATGTTAAGCAGGAATGTTGTATGGCATTAATATGCAGGTATGTATCTGAAGAGGCAGAGAGGAAAATCCACCCTAGTTTTACCTGAAGATTTTCTTTTTCCTGTTTAGCCATTTGGATGAACAATTCAAGATCAGCATTAAGTTTCTCTGACAAAACCTGAACGGCAAAGACATTAGAAATAGCAATATTATCAACTTCGAATTCATAATGAAAAGTGAAACCTTAAGATATTTTATACCCATGACTAGGTTCACAAACTAAATTCAGCAGAATAAATAGTCTGAACTTGTCTTAACAATAGAATAGAGAAGCCACCTCAGAAACAAATGCTGGAAAAGCATTCAGTGGCCCTTATATCACGCAGCCTTAACTCTGCACCCTCTAAGTTAGCCTACCACCCTCAAAAACAATTAGTGATACTACCCAAATTGCCAGCATGGAAGCAAGATTCAACTATTAGTCTAGTTGCAGTACCACCCTGTCCTTTGCTTTAGGCAATAACAAAATCTTGGACTGCCTCAGGAACAGTATATTTCTCTTTAGGAACAGTAAACAGAATCACATTCTCACCATTATCTCAGTCTGTATTTTCTTGTTCATTTCTTCCTCCTCCAAAATTTGTTCACCTGTAACTGATTTTCAAGTATTTTATTGTATTTCAAATATATAGCCTATATTCCTTCTCATTCAACTGGAAGCATAAAAGGCAAGCAACTTTGGGGTTGTTCTGCTGCCTCCTTTGGTAAGAAATTCCAAAACATTTGTTTCAGAATAGTATCACTTGAATCAGAATGATCTCATATGAAGGGATCATGTTTCAGAGACACAGCATATGCTCTGCGTCAAAAAAGGATTCAACCATCACACCTTCAATTATAGAAAGCAAAAATAGGAAAAACATTTGTCCTGACACTAATAATCAGAATTACTGATTATCTACTAGATAATTTAGTCAGTGGTTGAACTTTAAAGTGGCTTAATACAAAGTCAGAATTTTGTCCATGCATAACTAAAACAGAGTGGAGAGCAACATCTCCCTGTTTTGCACCACCTGGATTCTACTTTGTACCACACAGTCTAGGCCAGTGTTTCACAAACTTCCTACACTTATAGACCACTAAATATACACCTGGAAAATGTGGGGTCCACCCAATTAAATAATTAAATTCCCTCCCTATGTTTTAATCTTTACGAAGATGGATGTTTTCAGCAGATGAGACAATTATTACAGTTGCATTTGTATATGGTTTCCCATCCCCTCCATTTTTGAAGCATTTTTAAAAAGATGTATTAAAAATTAACCTAAACTTAAAAACTTATTAATCACTTGAATTACTTTATGTATACCATGCTATACAGTAATGGCTACTCTTAGCACAAATTTGCTGATTGAAAATGTTCTTCAGAAGATATCTCTGAATAGTGAGTCTTTCATATCAGAAAGACTGACCAGGTGATTGGCAGTTTAGGAGAGGACATGGGGCTGTAGTGGCAAACAGGTTGTGGCAGACTACCTGGTAAGCTTTCATAAGCACCAATGGTTCATGGGTCACATTTTGGGAAACATTAGTCTAGACATTCATAATTACATGAGGAAGGCCCTACCATCATAGGAGTTTTAGTCCACTGCTGCAGGAAAAATAGTGACAGAAATAATACAGTATATGACTGTCTTGTTTACAATTAGCACAATGCTTGTAGTTTTTATCTGGGTCACAATTTACCTGGGTCACAATTCCTGGTTTCTAATATCAACAGGCAGCTTTCTTGAAATTTTTTCAGCTTATCATTTTCTTTTTCAAGACTATCACAAAGCTCCTTCATATCTTTCATATCCTTCTGCAGAGACCAAACCAAATGGGAGATTAAGAAGAGCACCTATTTCTATTAGGCCTTTAAGAAATAAATAAGGATGCAAGAAAAGATAAAGAACTGTGCAATAGAATAACCCTTTTTATTTGGGGGAAGATGTTAACATTGTTTTCTCATGGCTATTATTGAAATCAGCAATGATGAAAAGCTGATTTCTTAGACTATTATTTAGAAAACGTGTTACGTGAAGTGGCATTTCACCAGCCTCACAAAACAGTAGTTCAATGTTGGTGGCTAGATTTGGCTCCATGGCTGAATTTCATTCCCTACCCCTGTGTTACGTCATTTCCAAAATGTGGGGGGAGAATGGAACTTTGGTATACCTTGTGAAGATTCTTGTTTTGGTATAGAAGAGCATCAAACTTTGGGAATAGGTGTTATGGCATGGAAAGTAGAAATGAGGTACTTGATCTGTCTCTCCTCTTCTATCTGGAAGCCCCTCCTCCCTTGTTTCATGGACTAGCTTGAAGTGGTAGGAAACATATAACCATGAACATAACAATCTCTGAATCTGCAGGCAGGCAAATTTCAGGTGTGAGATAAGGACATGTCCCATGGTTGAGTAATTAAGCAGTGAAGGCAGACACACGGTATGAAAATATATAGATGCCTCCACATCCTAATGGCAAGTACCAAATTCTCTTTCCTTCTGGTAAGGGAGATATCCAGATGGAGGCCCTGCAAAAATTTAATAGTACCTAGGAGGGTTAGGGGATTGCAGTGAGAAAGCAAGGGAGATGTGTTGGGGCATCCTCATTCAAAAGCTACCTGTATGGAGGCAAAATATTTTATCATGCTTCCTCTCTTTGTCCTTGGTCATGTCTGGCAGTGGGAGTTATCAAGAAAGAGAGCTGAAGACATAAGATTGCAGTTTTCCCCAAACTTGGTGCCCTCCAGATGAATGGACTTCAACACCATAATTCTCAACAATGATAACAATAGCTAGGAATTTCTGGGAGATGAAGTCCACATATCTGTAGAGTGCTACATTTGTGGAGCCACGAGATAAAATATAAAGAAATAGATATTTTAAAAATATATAGGCTAAAGAAAAGAAGAACAGCCCATAGATTTCCTCTACTTTTTTTTTTTTTTTCTGAATTAAGCAGGAACTAAGCAGCCCGAAAAAGGCACGAAGCAACGGAAACCCTGCCTCCTGCGCTCACCAGCTGGGCTCTGCACTAGGAAGGAGGCACTGGCAAAGCACTTCCGAAACATCTTGCCTTGAAAACTGCAGGGACTCGTCCAGGCAGTCGCTGCAGAATCGGTCACGATTGAGTGCAGATAAAAAAAAAAAAAAAAAAAAAAAA